AGCCACCCACTTTTCACGGCTTTGCAGAAATGTCAAGTGGTCCTAGGACACTTTTGTCACTATCATATATATATGAACTTGTAGCGCGAGAACTTATCTATCGATTGGTATATCTATCGTAGTGGCTAGATGATGAAGGGTGTCATAGATTATCTTAGACTTTTGCACATAGGAGATTATTTCCCATAGATGGAAGTATTTCTAAACATACTTGGTGTCAGAACGACTATTTCCGTGTGTGTGATATACAGAAATATAGCGCAGAAAAAGTACTTTCGAATGACATAAATGGTTCTATGAGGTATGAGGCTGCGAGAGACACTCGAAAATATGATCAATAAAACGTGCCAGAAGTGATTACAGTTAATTGGACCCAATTTTTTCTGAGAGCATTTCTGAGATCTGTCGAGTGGCTAGAAATGTTCTCCTGTTCATTCTGCATCTAACCATGTATGTGTCAATGAAATTCAAGCAGGGACCGATCCCATCAAATAATCGCCCCTGTCCTTTGCTTAATGATTGATTCTAGTTGATTGTTCAATTGAATTCATATCATTTCCAATTGCCGATCACTCAATATGCAAAGACAACGAAAAGGTTCTAAATTTTTGTCTTGGTCTTTGCCAGAGATTAAAAAACAAAGAGCCAATGCTAATACATTGTTGGTAGATGTATGCCAGCAGTGGATCAAACAGTCTATACTCAATTCAGTATACTTCTAGGGGTGGTCATGGACGAACTGGTACAATTGTATCGATCATAATTGGAATCTTATTTAATCTAAATGGTATTATCTAGTCTGTCTCTGTTCATAATTCTGAGAATGAGTGTTTTGTCTTTTAGGCGACGAAGCATTAAGAACAAATCACTATCTACATCAACAACGTTTGCAAACAAACGGGAATTCAAGTCCACAGCATACAAGTATGAATATATTTAGTGATATTCTAATAGCGATGTTGTCTCGTTACTTTGAAGGTCAATTTGAACAAGTACAAACAATTTTAGATTTATACCACAACCGAAAACAAATAAATGAACATGAAAAATAACATATTTGTTCAATTTCTAAAATTGTTCATTGATAAATTATATGCATTATCGTACTGATGGTGATCAGCTAGAGATTTGATCTCGAGCAGGATATTTTTAGCCGGAAGAATGAAAGGATCAACTAGCAGAAGATTCTTATGCAAATGAGATACACCGAGGTTAATCAATTAGTTGTTATCTAACTGAAACTTAATAGACTCTTTCGCAAGCAAAGATAAAATATGTGCAAATACACCTGTACTGACAACCACTTGAGACAAAGAAACTCTTGGGTTCAAATAACTGTAATCACTTCTGACACGTTTTATTGATCATATTTTCGAGTGTCTCTCGCGGCCTCATACCTCAGTAGAACTATTTATGTCATTCGAAAGCACTTTTACTAAGCTATATGTCTGTATATCACACATACGGAAATAGTCGTTCTGAGGCCAAGTATGTTTAGAAATACTTCCATCTATCGAAAATAGTCTCCTGTGTGCAAAAAGTCTAAGATAATCTATGACACCCTTCATCATCTAGCCACTACGCTAACTATACGATTCAATGGAAAATTTCTTGCGCTACGTTCATATATATATGATAGTGACAAAAGTGTCCTAGGACCATTTGACATTAGAAATACTTTCTGCAAAGCCGTGAAAAGCGGCTGATTTATTACACGGTGAGGATCCTATGCTTAACGTTTCTCAACTAACCACTACGATAGATATACCATTTAGATTA